CGAGGAAAAGCTGAAGCAGCTGAGCTGAATTTCAACCCAGCAGTAGCAGGAGTGTACTGGAAGATCGGAACCACAGCGTTTGGCTTCACGATGAACATATCGCTCCCATCATCACCTCCAAACCCAACAGCTTGAACCATGAATTATACAATCGTAAGCACAGTGATCTAGGATACCATGACCTTTTTGTTTGTCTTTGTGCAATGGCTGGCGATGGCCTTCATGGCCGGCACTGGCACCAGGCCGCTCGAGGTTGTGGTCTTTCAGTTTGGTGTCCACCAAGCCTTCCTCTTCCATGTCTTGAAGTAGTCCACGTAAGTTGGTCATCTCACTATCAGTGGTTGTCTTCCCCGTCTCTGGTGTAATTTCCAGCACCACTTTGAGAAGATCATTGGTGCAGCGAAATTGGCAAAGGTATGCCCAAACATCGCCTGTCGCACATATAGAAGTTGAATGTCAGAAGGTTGAGCTGGGAAGGTTGAGCGAATGAAACAAAAGAGGAGGGCACAGTTTGCAATGATTCAACGATTCAGGAAGCTGTAGCTGCACAAACAAGCCGCTGACACAAACGACGTTCCAGCAAACATGAAATAATTCTTGTTGGCTTTTCCCCCACATCTTGTCCGGTGGCCACACACAGCAGCTAGATGCTATGTGAACTAGGGCTCAGCCGGCTACCCATGAAGCTAAAGTTGAGATTGGTTCCAATCCCGGCAAAATCATTGAACCTGACATTTGTCAGGCAGTGCCATCCGCTGACGACTTCGTTGAAGACATGCGTCGGCGGCTCAATTCAGACTTCGACATGTGGCCCATGGCATTCAGGCGTTCTGGATGTGTTGCCCACCTTAGCATCACAAGAATGCAAAAACAAATTCCATCAATAACTGAAGATAGCTTACAGGTTGAACCAAACCATTCTTCAATCATCTAGGGTATGATTTTGAGACAAAGCACTCCTTCTTGGCCATAGTGAGAATCTCCTTCCCAGTCTTATGGGGGAACTTGAGACGCTTCTGGTTCTCATGGACAACCGCCCAATAGACAGTGTGCAAAGACTGATTGCACTTGGCAGCACTGGACGATGGCACAGGTGCAGCTGGTGCGTCCTCTCCATCATTGCTGGCATCCCCACCAGGCGCTGCAGCGGAGGGTTCATCTTCATGCTCAGAACCATGACCTGGCAACTGTAGTGTCTCCTGCGAAAGGTCTCCATGTTCAGACTCCTCCTTCTCCTCGATGGCCTGGGTCGATATCAAAATCCACACAGTAAGGGCAAGATCAACAGCAGCCATGACATTTTTGAGATGCGTTGAACAGTTGCACCACTATGTATACTGTATACTTCCAAAGGGTGAAGGATGTATAAATTTGGCGGTTCAAGTGCTTGTGTTTCGGTTGTTCAATAAAGAAAGTTAGGTCCCTTTTTGCGCAAATAGCCCAGAGCAGGCCTCTTCTGCGTTTGCCTTCTGCTCCGCCACCTCGATCTCCTTGTGTCAGAGGCTCAGTTGATGGACACTTTGTACCAGCTGCTACAGAGTACAGAGTTTTACAAACTTGTAAGGAAACAAACAGACAGACACATTGACATGTCAATGGAATGACACTGGTGTATATTGAAAAGCAATCCAACCGGTCCTTGGTCTTGCGACTCTTACCTTTGGCCTTCTTAGCTGCAGAAGCCTTCTTAGCTGTAAGCTTAGCTTTAGCTTTGGCTTTGG